GTAAGTAAATTTCTTGCTCACAACTTTGCTTCCAGTTTCAGTGCAAATTTTGTATCTGAGTTGGTAATCATTGAATTGCAAACCTTTACTCCATCCTTCTGAATTGTATTGTCTTCCTAAGTTGTACAAAGTAATTAGAAATCCTTCTGAGACTTTTTAAAACGAAAATGGATAACCTCTCTTATAATGACTGCCACTATTGATTAATAAGTCTGTTTTTCCCTCTTAACAAAAAGGAGAAAGCAATTGGCAATGGAGCAACTTTTATTCAGAAGACTCAGCACATTATTTTTTTGCTTCCATGGTTCATGGGTTCTTCAGAATTTCTAAAATTCAATTTCACCATTTGTTGTTAAATTTTTCAATGATATTCATTGAATGTAAATCTCAGTGCAAAGGTGGAATTTGAAAAGTCTTTCTCTCTTTTTATTGATTAGTTGGTTCTGACCACTGAAATCAGAATAACCTCTGTGCATGATGCTCTTGATTTGTCTCAAATCCTTGCATGAATGGATGCACCTTTTTTTTTTTTCTTTTTTTTTTTTTTTCTCTCTCTCAATAAAGTTGTCCTTGTCAATACAAAACTGCAACTTTTTGCTCTCTTTTACTGAAACTAGATGATTGTTGTCAATATAATTACTCATAAAATTGTATCCTATAGCATGCCTCTTGCCAACACACTTGTTATAACCACTGGGAAGAAAGACACCTTTATCATATTAGGGATTAACAAGATTTCTGTATTTGATACTGAACTTGAAAAACATTTGAGCAATTTTCAGAAGCTCCTAGTCATGTCATTTTAAATTCTCATGTAATCTCTCATGATATATTTGTGACCCACTCTAACCCTGGGCTGATTGCAGGACCATCTGTGATGATCTAACCCTTGGCTGGTTTGGATGGAAATCTAGTTTACCACGGAACCATGTGTAACACTAACCCCTCTGTTTGTCTTGGTCGCGGTGGATGTCTGGTTAGTCGATATCAGCTTTGTCGTTCCCAGCTCGCCTCCAACATCTGGTTACTGTAACTGTTTTGATATCTAGTCTAACCTACCCACGTTGTGATTTGATCTTAGGTAGACGAAATCAATCAGGTGTTGGGCCGTAGTGCAAGATGAATCAAGTTGAGAACTGATGCATGTGGTAGATTGTTATTCTTTATCTGTATTCTGTTTCCCTTGGTACTTCACTCTTATCATGACAAGATCCGGACATACAACAGATGGGTCTCCTTCTGGACACAAGAACCAAAATCAAATGATATATCCGAAAGATAATCAGTGGCTATTCTTTTTGGGTGGTCTCACTGAAATTCCTTCCTGGTCGCATGCTTGACACAGTTATTCTGACAGAATCCGAAATCTGCTTCTTTTACAAATTTTCTGTCCTCTGCGAAAAAATATCTTTCTTCGTAAATGAAAATAAAATCTTTACCCATTTTTCTTTTGTTAAAAAAAATGTCGCCTGGTATGTCTTTTGTTATAGTTCTTTCTCACCTTAAGTATTTTTCGTTTTTAATTTCCATGCTTAATTAGTCAGCCAATCACCACAGCTAAATAGTGTCACATTTACATATATCTTTTTTTCAATAAAAGGGGAATTTTTTGAATGTTTGAGCAATCTAATAGATTATCTAAAGGGCATATCTGGCTCCTAGTGACATTTAAATGCTCTTAAAGAGCTCTTTATGAAATCTATAGTTTTGAATTGGAAATATGTGAATATTTACTTTTTTTACCAATGTACTAAAGGCTGTAATCAACTTTAAACCGGTTAAGCATCTCATATAGTAGGGTCATCTTTCAGATAAGTAATATGGTTTTCACTTCTTTAGGTCAAATGCTGATGCATTAACAATTACTACTGAAAGCTTTACATAAAAATGGCAAAGTGCAGGCTGTTGCTTTGGGCATCTTGATTGCATTTGACAGGGTTTGGCATACTGGTCTTCTTCACAAGTTAAAAGATGAATTTTTGAACTTATCAGATTGCAAAGTAAAATTTGTCCTGAATGGCCTCTTGTCTAGATCACCTGCATTTGGACCTAGCTCTTCTTAATTTTCATCAATGACCTTCCTAATTTTCATCAATGACCTTCCTAATGGCATCAGTTCTCAACTTGATATCTATGCTGAAGACACAATAATATATATTTGTCTTAATAGTAAGTCTGAGATAAGGTCAAATTGGCAGCTGATCTCAAAAATGATTTACATTCTGTTAACTGGAGGCAAGTAATAGCTTGTTAATGCCTCCAAAATGAAACTGCTCTCTATTAATCATCTGAGGCCCCTTTCTGCCTTCCAGCAGTGAGGCTGATGCTAACCTTCAGGTGAGTGACTCTAATGAATTAGAAAATTTATATTGAATCAATTGCTAGGTCTGCTGCTAGGAAAATTTGGTTCACAGTGTCTTGCAAAACAATTTTTCTTTTGCATCTCAGCTTCACTTTCCCACTGCCATAATGTAGCTTCCTTGTGGCTTTTCTATAAATACTTTCATGTTAATTGTTGTGATGAACTTTCCTCTGTGGTATTTAGACTTTATGAATTTAAGTAAAATATTAGATTGGCAAAACAGTCTCATCAGTTTACAGTTGAATTGGTTAGATATAACTGTAAATTCTATGCTAAGTTTTTTTTTTTTTTTTTTTTTTTTTCTTTCTTGCCAGTGGAACTTTCTTCTGGCTTCTTGCATTCCAGCCAACTTTGATCTTCCAAAATTTAAATGCAATGTTAATTGTTATCTTCTGTTTACTTGTTTCCTCTTCTTTTATTGTAATAATTTCTTATTCTTCCACTCTCAGTAACCCCTTGCACTGTAGTAGCTTTATTGCCTTGTTTGGGGTGAAATGATTAATGCAATTAATAAAATGCATGCCTGTTGAAAAAAAAACACTTAGTAAATAATTTTGTTGCTTACTAGAGGTAATAATGATGTCACATGTCAGGCAAGAAACTCTTGATGTCATAATTACATTTTGAACATTATACCCTATGTTTTCTCTTTTCTTTCAATAAAGAAAAACTGCATATTGCTATATGCAAACCAGAGTATGTTACTTAGAAAGGCTTTTGAAGACCCCATTCACAAATTCCAAATAAACTCTGGACTTCCTCTTTCACTTAAGAGGATGGCAACCATGTTTGACTGATTTGTTAGAAAGTAAATCTGTACTCATAATGTAAATTCTGTTCCTTTCTTTTTATTTTTTTAACTCTTTCTTTTTTATTTATTTTTTAACTCTTTCTTTTTTATTTATTTTTTAACTCTTTCTTTTTTATTTATTTTTTAACTCTTTCTTTTTTATTTATTTTTTAACTCTTTCTTTTTTATTTATTTTTTAACTCTTTCTTTTTTATTTATTTTTTAACTCTTTCTTTTTTATTTATTTTTTAACTCTTTCTTTTTTATTTATTTTTTAACTCTTTCTTTTTTATTTATTTTTTAACTCTTTCTTTTTTTATTTATTTTTTAACTTTTCTTTTTTTATTTTTTTTACTCTTTTCTTTTTTATTTATTTTTAACTCTTTCTTTTTTATTTATTTTTTAACTTTTTTTTTATTTATTTTTAACTCTTTCTTTTTTATTTATTTTTTAACTCTTTCTTTTTTATTTATTTTTTAACTCTTTCTTTTTTATTTATTTTTTAACTCTTTCTTTTTATTTATTTTTTTAACTCTTTTTTTTTATTTATTTTTTAACTCTTTCTTTTTTATTTATTTTTAACTTTTCTTTTTTTTTTTTTTAACTCTTTCTTTTTTATTTATTTTTTTAACTCTTTTTTTTTTATTTATTTTTAACTTTTCTTTTTATTTATTTTTTAAACTTTTCTTTTTATTTATTTTTAACTTTTTCTTTTTTATTTATTTTTTTTAACTTTTTTTTATTTATTTTTTTAACTCTTTCTTTTTTTATTTATTTTTTAACTCTTTTTTTTTTATTTATTTTTTACACTGGCACGGTTTTTCTTTCTACTACTGCCATTCCCCCACCCCCATCTATCTCTTCCACTCTCTTTGAAATTGATTAACTTGTTACTAATATAAGAGTACTGCCTTCATTTCTTTTTATAAGGGTACCCTAATTTTGTTTCTTTGCCTCCAGGATACAAATGACAATAACAGAAGTTAGAGAGGGAGTAACTGAAACTTTTAGTGCATACAAAAATTCTTTAGAATTTAGAAAGTTTTCTTGTTTTTTTTTTTTTTTTTTTCTTTTAATATAACTATTTATTACAATTAAACACAAAATTAAAGTTTAAAAAATCTACTTAAATTATTGTAGTAATTTTGAATCTTTCAAAACAAGCTAGACATCGCTATTAGATAGAACACTATAATATCTTTAAAGAACTGGCTCATTATTTTGATACATCTGAATAGAACTGGAAAAATTGCTTTTAGTTTTATGGAAATTAAAATTTATTATGAAATAAAATCCTTCTACTGATCTTTAGTATTCAATAAAAATGATCTAGAAGCTGTGAATAATTTATTCTTATGAACAAGTTAATTATGCTACCAATGTAAATATATGTTAGTTTTTTATCAAGCATGTGATTTTTTTTTTTTTTTAACCATGCAGAACCTCGTCTCTGCTGAGTTCATTGTTAGCTTTTGACTGACCTATATATACTTCTCGTGTTCATACTTATGTTCATACCTTCTTATAGTCACTCTACATAACTTGAAAAGCAGTTGTTTTTTTTTTTCAGAAGGCATTTTTGTATTGACACTGGCTATATCAACTTCAAGTTTTAATCTTCATCATACTTTTCTTTTTTTCTCCTTTAATGGAAAATGGGCATTTAAAGAAACAGATGCTTAACTTTGTATTTTACTATTTTCACCTGCTTGTTCTCTGTTGCTTTGAGAAATGAAATTAAACATGATTCAATTATATTTTTGCCGGTAAGTTTTCTCTTCCTTTTTTTTTTTTTTTTCTTGCCAAATTTTCATGTTATCAGCAAAATCACTTCTAACAGTTCAATAT